GGGGGAGAAAGAGAGGGAGAGGGAGAAAGAGAGGGAGAGGGAGAAAGAGAGGGAGGGAGAAAGAGAGGGAGAGGGAGAGAGAGAGGGAGAAAGAGAGAGAGATGGGCAGAGAGAGAGACAGACAGACAGACAGACACACAAACACAGACAGACAGACAGACAGACAGACAGACAGATAGACAGACAGACAGACAGAAGGAGAAAAAGAAAAAAAAGAAAGGCAGGAAAAGAGAAGTAGTGAGAGATATATACAAACCGGAAGATAAACAGGGAGAGAGAGAGAGAGAGAGAAAGGGGGAGAAGGAGAATGGGGAGGAGGTGGGTTCTGTGTGACTGACTGCAAGTCTGGATTATAATTATTATGTTGTTTTGAACGTGTGTGTATGTATGTATGTGTGTGCGCGCGCGTGTGTGCGTGTATGTGTGTGTGTGTGTGTGTGTGTGTGTGTGTGTGTGTGTGTGTGTGTGTGTGCGTGCGTGTGTGAGTGTGTGTGTGTGTGTGTATGTTTGTGTTTGTGTTTGTGTTTGTGATTTGTGTCTGTGAATGAGAGAAGAGTGTGTGTGTGGGGTGGGGTGGGGGGGAGATAAAATATTAGGAGGGGGAATATATAAGTAAGCACATAATGCATGAAATTGTCAAAAACGGCACCCATTGTAGAGGAGAAAAGTGGCTGTCTCAGTGTCATATTAATTATAGATATAATTATAATGTAAAAAGATACGCTAGGTGGCGTCGGTAGTCTTGTGGTTAATCTACTGGACTCGTAATCGTGAGGTTGCGTGTTCGAGCCTAAGCTCGGTCCGACATTATGTCCTTGGGAAAGGCACTTTAAACGAATTGCCCACTTGGCTCGGTCCTTTCGGAGATGGATGTTAAGCTCGGAGGTCCCGCCTCTTAAATAACCGAATAGTGTTGAGAGGGGCGTTAAACCGATATCATTTCACCATTTTTCAAAGTCAAAGACTCTAAGGGAGAAGTGACCGTTTAGTTTACACAGGCGATTGGCTCATACAGGTTGCAGTTAGAGCAGGTGTGTGTATTGTATAACATTTACTTGCATGATATCTTGTTTGCGCGCTCATATGACCTTAGCAGTTGCGAGCGCCGTAAAACCCTATACTCTATACTACATACATACATGATATCTTGTTTTTTGTCTGTGGAAAGTCGACTTCTGACTATTGTTTGAAGGGGAAAGAACATTTGAAAGGGTGATTGGGGGGGAGGAG